GACCAACACCTCATCAGAAAAATAAAACACATGATGATACTCAAGGAGTTGCTATTCTTCTTCTTACCCTCCTCGATATTAAACAAGGGCTCACACTGAGAGCTGTCACGTCCGTGCTCCAGATCCAGTGCCTTCTATGTTTTACCTCTTTGAAGTCTGCAAACAGCCCTCTGAGGTAGGCACTATAATTATCCTCATTCTACAGATCAGGGAACCAAGACAGAATGAGCCCAAGTGACTTGGCTAATAAGTGATAAAGCCAAGACTAGAACTCAGGTTGATCTGAGGCCCGCGCTCTTAACTGCTACATTTTATCACACTGTATTATACCATATCACAACTTTAGGCTATTAGGATTTAAATTTGTAGCTAGACAGTTACCTCAGGGCAGAACAATACACACTTCTCCACCTAAGAGAAGCCTCATGCTTTTTCGGTGTGTTACAAAATACATTATAGGCGAAAATGACAAATATACATTTCCCCCACTTCGTATATGCAAATTTGCATTAATGTAAGCTTTGCATTTAAAAGAGAATTTACCTTTGATGTGTAACAGACAAATTACATTAAGACATTAAATCTGTAAGTCATTGTTAAAAAATAGTTTATTTATTTTGAGCAAAGAAAACTTTCCAGTCTTTGATATATGTTCTTACAAACATGAAAATAAAATTCCTTTCCTCAACTGTCCTTTTCCATTTCACACATATTGATCTTTCCATCTGTTTTAAATAATCATGAAATTAATAGGAACTGTTTTTAATAAATCCAAATCATAGCTCCTTTCATGTCAAAATTTTGGGGGAAAGACAGAGGTGAAAAAGCAGCTAAGCATTAGGAGAAACTAAGACCAACAAGGAACAGCTTTAGAAAAGAAACTCAAAGATGACAAAGAACTGGGAAGGCAACCACGGAAAGGCATTTGCAGGTTGAGGTGGGGGTACTCGAATAAGGGAGATTCTGAAGTGGGGTGCAGCCAAGGGCAGAGCCCAGGTAAAATAAAACAGAAGGGAGAAATAAAACCAAGGGCTGTTTGACCAACACGCTAGGTGAAAATCAATGTAAAAGACACCTGGTGGAGTAAGTCAAGCCTGGATGTGAATTCTAAACAGCCTTTTTAACATTTGGCATTGGGCGGAAGTTCTCGGTATTTGTTCAACCTTCGTTATTTATAAAATGGGCCATGCTCTTTCTCTAACTGAATTGCAGAGGATAATGAATGGGACAACACCATGCAGTCCCCAGCACAGACTCTGGCACTGTGGGTGCTGGGGAAATGAATACCCTCCAACCGTGCCCACCAGGCACTAAGTAGCTGAGCAGAGGGAAGCCAACCGGAAGACCCCTTCACAGCTAGGCTGGACAGTGCTATAAGTCATCCCAAACTTTCTTCATAATTTTTAGTTATTTTAAAATTGTTTATAATCCTAATTATTTTCTAAACCAATAAAAGAGGATCAATTTATTAAAAAATCCATCATCATCAATGAAAAAAGAAAGCCATTTCGAAGCATGTTTTCAATCAAAATAATAAACCACAAATCCATACTATATATAATATATACTGTGGGAAACACTATTTGATAAGGTCATTGTGTTAGTTATTAAATTATTAAGTTATTAGGATACCTAAAACTGATTAAAATAATACTGAAAACAGTGGTTTTGGGATGCACTATGTTTTTAATTCTGGCTGTTTGGTATACGTATTATTTTCTAGATAGAAATGATTATATTTGTTTATATAATGAATTTGCTATCACATTAGATAAAACCACAATTGTACCTGATTGTTAGAGAACACAGGGCAATCTGTGAGATATCTATTTTATAAATACTCAGTTTTTTAAATTAAAAAAGGAATCTTCAATTACTATAAATACCATTATGCTTTAAAACATTTTCTTTTTAGCATCTTTGAGCTTATTTAAATTCAGTACTTTGTTGATCATTCCTGACATAATTTTGATACTCTCAGATTTAGGAAAACACTTTGTAAAACAACCATGCCACACACTCCATAATGTTCAAATGGTCTCCCATCTCGTAGCAGGTTTAAAGCTCAGTAGTGGCCAATGAACCAGGAGGCTGAGTTGTGCAGACAAGTGTGCCACCCAGAGGCAAAAGGAGGAAATCCACCTTGGATTTTATTTGTAAGATGCAACTGATAAATGTTCAATTTTTAAAAATTATTTGCTATTACTTATCTTATTAAAAAAACATGGGAAGTTCTTTATAAGGTTTTCTATACATAAATGAATCCTTTTAGTTCCAGGTTACACAAAAGTGTGGCTGTTTGAGATCTCAAAAAATGGTAGCAAGCCCTGAGAGAGTACTAGTAACAGGTACACAGCTTGCCAATTAAAAAAATTGAATTTAACTGTATTCTCTACTATAAATGCTTTCTTTTCTTTTTATAATTAATATAACATGTATTTCCAGAAGTACATATAAGTTCTGTAGCAACCACCATGGCTTATTCAGACATGTGGACCAGAAGTTAAACTAATTACCAGAGACATTTCTTACTTAAATGAGAAAAATATCTTTCATTAGAAGGTCTTCTGTGTAATTTTCTTCTGGCAAAGGAATAAAGTTTACTTAGAGTAATTTTATTTGCAGACAGTCAGGGCTTCTAAAATATATACCAATAATTGTTAAGGTTAAAGAAAACAGTCGACTCTATTAAACACACATAAAAAGTCAAGTTTCTAATGGCCTAACTAAAACAGATTTATGATATCCCCATTTTGTTTTAGAAGTCTGGATGCTGGGATTACTGCTAGTACTGGACCATCTATTATGACTTACATATTTTAGAATAAACTACAAAAGATCGCTGAGCCTTCACTTAAATGAAAACATGACATACATTAAAATGTGAAAATGATTTTAAGCATAAAATTTGAAAAAAATCCTTTTTTCTATACTGTAAAATCATTTTTTGAAAATGATTTGTAAAATCATACTCCTTCTTGGGTTCTCAATGCTGTTATTACTTTCTTATTTCATCTTATTTTATTGTTTCATTTCCATACCAACATACCTCAAAATTGAAAATTGATTCTAAACTTACACCTATTCCTGCGACTTTCTAGAAAATTCATTCTAAGGAATGCTAAGTGTTTACTGCTAACTTCAAATTTGTTTCTATTAAATGGGAAGATTCTATAGTTGATCACTATTTCTAAGTAAACTTTTTTTCCTGTGAAACACTGCTTTAACATAAAACATTGTTAGGTAAACCTTTCTCTCTTGGTTCTTTCACTGAGGGAGCTCATTATGATCTGTGAGAATTAATTCTCTTTCCTATTTATACTCCTTAATCTTCCATACACCCTGAATTGCATCATTCTGTAAAAGATGCTGCCACTTGCAATGATGGCTATAAAATATTTGAGCAGAGAATACAAACAAATCTACCTCATATCCCTATATCTATATAGGGATGCTTAGTAAATAAATGAGACTATGGGTCTAAGTCCAGTCTTGCTACACAGATGTCCTGTACACACTGCTAAAATCAGAGAAAATATGACAAAGACAGCTCACTGGGATAGTATGCTTATTACTTCAGATAGAAGCTCAATGAGTAAGGCTCAAAGTAAGTATCAGGGAATATACTGGAAAATCTTTAAATAGACCTCAAGGGTTGAAAAAGTCCAAGTACATTCTGAAGCAATAAAAAAAATTAACCAGGAGAATGACCTCTTATATGTACCCTAGGGGTATCAAAAGGTCTGTGTCTGCATCATATGTACAAAGAATAAAAGAAATACAGAAAGAACTGCTACTTGGTTGTTAATAAATGATCTAAGTTCATTGATTAGTATTTACAACAACCAAACAAGTAAGATGTGCAACATTTGGGGGATGGGCACGCTTAAAGCTCTTACTTGAGGGGGGAGGGGGGCATGGGCAATATATGTAACCTTAACACTTGTACCCCCATAATACGCTAAAATAAAAAATAAATAATAAATAAATAAATAAATAAATAAATAAATAAATAAATAAATAAATAAAGGGTAAATTGTGAAACACTCCTCATAGCTCCTCTAACTGATCAAGAAAACCTAGTGATAAAATGAAATGCCTTAAAATTTCTTGGATCTTTCCTATTCCTTTCCTCCCTCTCTAATGCTCCCATCTTAGCTCTCATCATTTTTAAAATCTGTATTAGTTTAACCACGTCCTAGCTAATCTCTATCTTCAGGCCCAATCTCCTATTCTATCCTGCCACTGGCACATTTTCAAATCCATCCTCCAAACAGAGTACAGAATAACCTCTGTGAAATAACAGATCAATCATATCACTTGTCTGTTTGAGATTCCCACATCAAGTCAAGGGTACTCATGTCCCTGTCCATAATGACCCTCATTTCCTCCACAACTGGCTGGGGTCCTCCCAAGGGCAGAAGGCCAGGGGCTGGTTACAGCCTATCCCCCAAACCCAGGCTCTACAAGGAGGGTCATACCATAGCTAGTAGCTCCTTGGGCCTCTCTGCTCCAACTTGACCAAAACCTAACTTAAATTTCTTTAGGAGAAATTAAAATAACTCCTCATCAAGAAATGTCAGGACCCCTAACTTATGGGTAAAGTCTTTCATAAAAACATCCTAACGACTAAAATAACAGTTTCAATACATTTTTAAAAGACAAGAATCACTGTCTTCAAACAATATTTAACGCAGAACCCAAACAAAAAATGGTTGAAATTGTACGTTGAGGTTGACAGCATAGACAGAGGTCAGATCATATAGGCTACAGAATCAAATTCAAATCTATTTGGCACAATGCCAGGTCAGTGGGGAGAAAAGGCAGGGATGCAAGACCTGGTTCACATTTTTGAAAGACCACTGTGGTTGCTGTGTGTAAAAGAGTTGACTACGGAGAAATTCAACATTTCTGATGTATTTTTATAAACCTAATACCTTTAAAGAGTGATACGTAGTTTACCATCAATGGGAAATCATGATAAATGAGTCACAGAATACCTGATCCTCGCTGGTTAATCCCAAGTGCATCACAAGGTAAAAATGCACCAGGAAATCCGAGTTTGGCAGAACGTCCTGGCGTCTGGTCATCATGGCACAGATCAGCCTGTAGGCTTGCAGTTTGCCTTCCTTATATTCATTTGGCAATGTCGTTGCCTGCCAAGGAGATGATGTTTCCAGATTAAATCAAGTCCAGATGCAGAGCATTTCAACATTTCATTTACTTCTCAGTTTTCCATAAGAGTTGTTTATGGAGATATGGGATGCAGTGGCTTTAGTAAGACCCAGCCTGTCTTCAAAACATGCAGTCTTGGGCAATTACATTTTTTTAAACTCAATTTCAGAAAGGAAGAGGAAATTGCAATAAAGGAATAAACACATATCCACTTGCCTTAAATAGCCATGATGCAAACATTCTGAGTGGTGGGATCAAGACGGGAGGAGATGGGGAAGACTGGTTATCCAGGCTTATTGCTAGATTGTCCCGAATCTAATACACAAAGAGGACAATGTTAGGGAAGGTAACATTTCATTTATCTCAACAGTATTTCAATATTGTCTTCCATGACCAAATAGCTGCTTCTCATTAAATTTCTATAAGTTGAGTGAAAACTTATAATATTTATAACTTTTTCTTTTATTGTAACATCTACTGTCCTTTTGAATTGTGTGTCTGGCTTGTGTATGTGGTTTTAGATTTAAATACAAAACAAGGGCATTATTTTTCCTTGAATGCTAATGTCTGGACAGGTCTTGAACACCAAATGATAAGGAATTACTTAGTAAGTTATACTGCACAAATATGAATCATGTTTTGAAAGAATATTTAACAACATGGAGAAAATATATGTTAGAACCAAAACAAAAACCAGAACGAAAATTTTATGTACTCTAAGATTCTACTTTTGTAAAAATGTGTTTTTCCAGAGAAATAAGACTATTAATATATGCGAACATTGGTTATTTCTGTGGATGGTGATGTTAATTTTCTTCTTTGTATTTTTCTACATTTTTCAAATTTTGTACAATAAAACCAGTATCACTTTTATAAAGAGAATAACTAAAACTGATTATTAAGTCCTATTTTTATCCTTTTTATCATATTTTAGTATCTATAGTAATATTTTACTTTTATACTAAATAACCTTCATATATAAAAATATTCAAATTATATGTATCATGATTTATTTTTGATAATCAAATATACTTTGTCTAAACGTCTAATTTGTGTTCCAGAATATGTTCAGTAGTTAACTGAAAAACAATTTTTACATTAAATGATGAATCCGTTTTCCTGGGTTAGAATAAAAGGGAGCATGGCAGAAAATACCTTTGCTAGTTTGTACCAGAGCTCATAGAGGTAGCCAAAGACTCTGGCGTGGATCTTGGGTGACTGGATATTATTCACATCCCCCAGGATTCCCAACACTCTTCGCCATAACACAGCGGCAGAGTCTGGGTGCCAACCAGCGAGGCTCCCCCCAGCAATGATACTACAGTCATCTGCGAGGCATTCACTGCTATCTAAGGAGAAAAACATGTGTTAACCCTGCAAACATAATCCTGATTTAATCATCACAGCTTTTTTTTTTTTTTTTTTGCTTTAATGCAAATTACGTATGCTTAAATTTTTAGGTATTCAAAGTAAAATAAGGTAAAAAACTTGAAATGACAGAGAATTTAAAAGGATAGAAAAGCAGGATCAATGAAGAAAACTCAAATGATTTTGAGTCTTCAAACTAAAAGGACGACAAGCCCAGAGATGACATAACAGTTCCTGGAGAGCCTGTGAAGGGCTTTATAAATCAGGGGAGGGGAAGAGAGAGACCCTTGAGCAGGGCAGGTAGGAAACAGTGTCATGAAATAGATGGGAAGGCCTCAGCACCAGAGTGGTTGCTATTGCTAGGTCAGGTTTATTGGGGGTAAAGTTTGTATATAAGAAATTTTCATCCCTTTTAGGTTTTAAGCAATGTATATATTCAGGTAACTTTCAACATAAACTGCCACCATAATTGAAATATGAAAGAGTCCTAGCACTCCAAAAAGCATCCCTTTATTATCAGTTCCTCCCTCTCTATTCAGCCCCTCAAAAACACTGCTTTGTCTTCTGTTCCTATAGTTTTGCCTTTTCCAGAATGTCATTTACGTGGAACCTTACAGTGTGTAGCCTGTCAGGTTTCTTTCACTGAGCAAAATGCATTTGAGATTCATCCTATAGTGGTGTGTACCAGTAGTCTGTTCCTCCTTACTGCTGATTAATATTCCACTTTATGGATCTATCATAGTTTATCCATTCACCAGTTGAAGGACATTTAGATTGGTTCCTGCTTTTGACAATTATGAATAAAGCTGCCATAACAATTTGTGTATAAGTTTTTGTGCAAACATACATTTACATTTCTCTTTGGTAAATACCTAAGAGTGAAGATTTCTGGGTGGTATCATAAATGTGTGTTTTACAAATGTTAACTGAAGAAAAGACACTGTCAAGCTGTCTTCCAAAGTGCTGTTCCAGTTTGCACTTCTACAAGCAAAGAACGAGAGCTCCATATCCTCAGCAGCACATGGTACTATCGGTTTTAAAAATTTTAACCATTGCAATAGGTATGGAGTAGTATCTCACTGAGGTTTTCATTTGCATTTCTCTAATGACTAAAGATGTTAAGCATGTGGTGACATGCAAACCAAACCTGAAGATAGTGAGTGAATGGGCAATGTAACTCTTTCGGGAGAGCCAATCAGGGAGAAGGGCTAGTGTAGAGCCCTGCAACGGGAGTGTGTTAGCAAATTCAAGGCACAAGCATGTCTTTGTAATATATATTCAATTATGAAATACAAAGTAATATACATTGAAATAAATGGTTAATGAAGAATTCAATGATTTATAGGCATATCTATTTTATTATATAACATTTAAATTATGGAATTTTGTTCTTTGGATACCAATGCTTTAGGATGGCTAAAGGCTGGGAAAGACTGGGTTAAGTCTTGAGCTTCCTAAAATCATAAGCCTCCAGCCATTTAGAGAAAACAGAAAAGCAGCTAAAAACACATGAGCATTATTTATAACAAAGAAAATTTACTTTATAGTATGTATATAATAATAAACAGTGACAGACATTTTAACTACATGTTGTACTTTCTCACTCTTTATCCTTCTGACTTCCTTGCAGCACTTAAGATTTCTTCCTTATACTCTTTTTCCACAATTCTGCCTCCCTATGCTTCCATGACCAACCATATTCCTCTAACCTCCAGCAGCTCAGATTTTTCATTTTGGTTTCCATGTCCCCAACCCGGAGCTTTCATCCAAAGTTCCATCCCTGTCCTCACGTGTCAGAGCTTCAGCACCCTGTGTTCCATCTCCTCCTCTCCACTGGCACGGTGCTTGAGGCTACCAATGACCTCCATGTCACTTAATGCAGTGCTCAGTGTTCAGTCCTCAGAAGCATTTGATTCAAGTAAACATGACTTCTTTCTGAAATGCTTCATTCATTCGAACCCCAGGTATGACACTCACCTGAAAAAATTTCAAAGTTTTCTCTTTTGCTGGTTCCTCTTGATCTCATAGATTTGTAAACATTGAAGGGCCCTAGGGCTCTTTTCTACCTATAGTCACTCTCTTCTCAATTTCATACAGACTTAATGCCATCCATATTTAAATGCTATCCATATACTCACATCTCTACATGCCCATTTCTGGCCTGGATTTCTTTCTTCAATTCTAGACTCATTTCTCCAACAACCTATTTGCCAGCTCTACACGCTCAGGGCTGAGTGGAAGCTTAGTCTGCAAGCAGGCACGGTCTTAGGTGAGTTTCATGATGTTCTTGAAGAACCTCATTTATATTTATGTTGTGTTTTTTTTTTTCTGGAACTCATTCCAGGGTAAAGACTTTCCCAAAAGACTTTCTCCTGTTCAGAGTATGCAAACTCTCATTTAATCCCTTTGTTTTTAAGACAGCATCTCTGCACTCTGCCATGCGTTGGTGACTCCAAGCCAGAAGCCGCCTAATTCACTTTCTCCACCTTCTGGAGCAAAGCAGCCGCCGCCAAGGGCAGGGGGCAACAGAGCTCAAACTAGTTCTTACACAGGCTTACCATCTTCCTGTTTTTAGCCCCACCATTACCTCTTATTTCTGTAGCTACCTCACATGGGCAATTTTCTAACCTTTTTAGTGAACCTGCAATAATTTTAGTCAGGCTGCTTCTTAGCTTTCCCAACAATTGACAAAGGATTCAATATTTTCTGGTCTGTCAATTCATTTACCACATGCCACCTGTTTTGCAACTTCAAAAAGTTGGTTGCTACCGTCTTTCTCCTGCCATCTTTGTCCTTGTGGATTTATGTCTTATTTATTAATAACATAAATCCTTCCAATGTGGCTTAGGTGGGGTTTGGAGAATAAGTAGGGCTATTTGTGTTTGTTCACTCTACTATCTTTAACTGGATATGCATTAATAGGATTTATTTTAATGCCATTGTCACTCATTTCTTTAGCTTGCTTTTAAAAGCCACTTATTTTATTTTCTTATTTTGCAATTTTTATATCTGGGCTTTAATGCATTTATTTTCTATTTTGACAGTTTTTCCCTGAATTACTTTTTTAAGAATAAACTATTTTTTAAAACAGTTTTGGATTTATAAAAAATTGCTAAGACAGTACAGAGTTCCCATATACACCATACCTAGTTTCACCTATTATTAACATCATACATTCATATGGAATATTTGTTACAATTAACAAACCAATACTGAAACATTATCATATAGTCCACACTTTATTGATATTTCCTTAGGTTTGTTTGTTTGTTTGTTTGTTTGTTTTTGAGACAGAGTCACGCTTTGTTGGCCAGGCTAGAGGGAGTGCCATGGCATTAGCCTAGCTCACAGCAACCTCAAACTACTGGTTCAAGCAATCCTCCTGCCTCAGCCTCCCGAGTAGCTGGGACTACAGGCATGCGCCACCATGCCCAGGTAATTTTTTTTTCTATATATATTAGTTGGCCAATTAATTTCTTTCTATTTATAGTAGAGACGGGATCTCGCTCTTGCTCAGGCTGGTTTCGAACTCCTGACCTCAAGCAATCTGCCCGCCTTGGCCTCCCAGAGTGCTAGGATTACAGGCATGAGCCACGACGCCGGCCTTCCTTCGGTTTTGACAAATTTTTTTTCTGTTCCAGAATCCCATCCAGGGTATCACATAACAAATAGTTGCCATGTCTTCGTAGCCTTCTTTTGCCTCTGACAGTTTCTCAGACTTTCTGTGGTTTTGGTGACCTTGGCAGTTTTAAGGAATACTGGTCAGATATTATTATTTTATAGAATGTTCCTCATCTGGGATCTGTCTGTTATCTTTCCCACAGATTTTATTTTTTCACATATGCGTTCATGGAATGAAATTCTCTTAGTCCTGATGTATGCTATTTTTCCAATGTTCTTGAATTTCATTTGTTAATGCTTTATGGAGGATTTTTGGCTTATATGCTTACAAAGTGAGATGGCCTCTAATTTTGCTTTTTTCATACTGACCTTGTCTGGTTTTGTTATCAAGGTAACACAAGGTAGACAGAAGTTAGAGAGCTTTCTCTTTCTACGTAATGGGATAGAAAAGATAAAGTTTCTCTTTTATTTGAAGGTAGGTAAAACTAGAAATTATTCTTTATTTTTACAGATTTATTTGAATTTATAAATTTATATTATTTTTAAAGCAATTTAAATTTATATTGTTTTTGTAGTTGTTTCTTTTTTCACCCCCAATATTTTTTACTTGATCAATCTTGCCTGTTTGTCTATTTTTATTATTGTTTTTAAAAAATGATTTTCAGCTATCTTCTCTATTGTTTATTTGCTTTCTAGTATATGCATGTATGCTTTCAGCTTTATTAAGTTCCCTTTTTAAAATTAACTTCTACATGTTATTCTGATATTTGTTTCCTAATTTTTTGAATACAGCACAGTATATTATTAATATAATTATTCACAAAGTTCTATTCCTCACCCCATACAAATAAAGACTGTCTAGTTTCTAGGCACTTATCAACCCCACTGAGTGTTATCTTGACTATATATGTTGTTGGTGTTTTTAAGGTCTAACCAAAGAAACTGAGGCACAATCTCTAGATCTGAGAAACTCAAGTAGAGGAATGACAAGGGCAACAAGAGGCAAAAAGGAATGAATCCAAAAAGGAGCCAGGGCAGATCCAAACATGGCTGCCAACATCTTATTATTAATATATTAGTGATGGAAAGTTCCCATGACACTGAAACAAAGGATTTAATAGTGATGGCACACACTGTCAAGGAAAGGCCTTCCCAACACAGACGTACTGCTCCTTCTTAGAGGAAAACACTGCTTCTGCAGTTCCCACAGAAGTATCAGACACTCAGTTGAGGAGATACACTAAAATGTGCAGATACAATCCAAACTGGAATTCCTACACAATGTGCCTGAAAAATAGAAGGCAAATGCCTCATTATGAACATTCTGGATTCTCTGACTTACATAAGGAGTCAGAAGTGA